AACCTCCACCTGTGCCCTTGATGAATGCGAAGGCGGTCTTCGCCGTGAAATGCTGGTCACTCATTCAGGTCAAAAGTGCTCCAAATGTACCCTGATTGACGGTTTAAAAGGTGCCTTAACAATAAAATCCTTTCATAACGCGAGAGTTCAGAATTTAAGACAAACGAAAAATAAAAAAATTAAAATCCTGTCGAACCAATCTTTACACTGTAATGGACCAGATTCATCTGCAGCTCTAAAAACACTAACAAAAAATAAATTACCAAAACGATCTTGATGTTGAAACTTTTTTCTTGAACTTGAATAATTGAAAACTGAAAAAAATAACATTACAGTGGATTGTCGTTACTACAGTTCAATTAAATAGAGTTGCAAGCCAAAAATGAGGATACTGCTATTGAAGAGGCTCTCTCTGTAAAAACCGACCACTGATTTTACTTCGCGAAAATTCGAATTTTCTCATAAGCTGGCATTTCGAAGCCCTTACCTAGTCAATCACTAAAATGAGTTTTATTTGATTAAAAATTCTAGGTATTCTAGGATTGATTGAAGTTCGGTCCGCTCGACACAAGCTGCATGCATGCCTACCGAAACTGGAAAAATAGCACACATTGCCGGCGCTCTTAAAAAAAATAATGTTCGCTCAAAAGTCCCAATTCTTTTTTTCAACCATAGATATATCATAGCAGTTTCTTTAGCCATGTTGCAATGATAATTCAATGTTGTTCCTTCAACGGTTAAAAGAAGATTTTCTACCCGTTAAATCGAGTTTTGAACCAAACGCGAAAATAGNCTCTACTTTGAAGGCACGTTTTAAAAATGTGGCACCTGTTTGAAACTGCTGAACTACATGAATAGAAAGTATAAATTTCCCTTACTTTAAAACAATAATAAAATTTGTCTGCCCACTAGGTTTTCAAAACTAACGTGTACACTGGCTTCATCCCGCAACTGAAATCACTCTTGGGTGCTAAAAATGCATCAGAATGCACCTCAAGGCAGATTTCAAAATGTCCTAGGGCCCAGCAGTTCCTCCAACAGGAGGGGAAACTCGGCAATTCCCACATCATCCCCACTTGGTCGTCCCTATCGTGGTCCAATAGGCCCCGCCTACTTTACGATTTCCTCCTGCTACTTTATTCTTTTAAATATGGAAACCCTAGGAAAATGACGACAATTTCTGTCGGCAATTTGGCAATTGAAATAGAACTTGGTTCATTTGTTTCTTTGTTTGTCTAGTTGTTCTTTCGTTTGTTTTTTAAGATTAAACAAGAAAGATAAAGACAATTTTATTGTAACCTTAAACTTCAACCGATAAACATTCATCAACGGTCTTGATAAGAGTTAACTTGTCATTCCTTTCTACTGTAAAAAATGCGATTAATGTGAGTTTATCGACCAGACAGCAGTTCATTGTTTCTTCTTAATGATTCCTCTGGAAAATTAGACCTCACACAAGCAGGAAACGAGCAGTTAATAGCTCTTATTACAGTTGAGCCTGCCGTCTAATATTCCTTAGCTTAAAAAGGCATGCAAACGAGGCAAACGGGTCAATACAAAGCAAAATTGACCATTTCGCCTCGTTTGTATGTCAAACCGCTGATAACTGTAATAACAGGTATTGTTATTAGACGATGCACTCATAAAGGGAGACTGTGTAAGCTTCAGTTGATATTAGTAGTGTACAATCATAGAGGAAGTCGGCTTAAGCGGATTTCTTTTCAAATTAAGCGGATAAAAATCCAGCCGTTTCGATATTATGGAACACTTGCGCACTACAAGCTTTCTGCAGTGTTAGCAGGCAGCCACTAAACAGGTCTTGGCATTTAAATCGATTAAACGATCAATTTATTACTGAAAATTGATTGCTCAATTAATTAATTGATTAATTAATTAATTACTGCTGCCCACACAGTGAGAGGAAAACGACGCTCACTTTAAATAAACAACGTTGGATTAACAAGCTACAAATGTAAGAGGTGTAAAGGGCTTGGAAGGGAAACAGTAAATTCCAACACGAATTTCCGCTTAACTGTGTGTTTCTCAGAGAATGCAGTTTTGAAGTTTTACAAGTCACTTTCTAATGTGACCATGGGGGAGATCAGGTCCGAACAGAAAGGATATGTTGAAAGGTAATTTTTAATTTACTCCTACCTAATTTTGTTGTAATCTTGCACACTTTACTCATCTTGTTACTGAGTTTGAAAATTAAAGTAAAACATCAGCTCTCACTGACCGCAGTTACGAAAATCAGGAACACAACATTCCAATGAAATCCTAAGTTTAGAATATTTTACAAGATCATTTCCGTTCAGATTTGCCCCTCTGAAGTGATTGTTACGGCTAGTTATTCAACTGTGCTATAAAAAAAAAGTTACAACTATTTGCCCGGCCTCGCAGATGCGCGGTTTAGAATTCGAGAATATCTTGGGGTTTTGCAATTAAACTATGTGTTCTAAAGAGATGGATTTAAGGTCTTTCATGAACACAAACATCGAAATTAGGTCTCATTTCTTCGTGGTCTCCCAGCCTACGCGCAGAGCAGCATCTTTTCAATCCTTCCTTTGTCGGCGTAGGGTGCAGAAAGCCGGGAGAAAGACAGCGACAATTCATTTGTGCAAGTTCTGTTCAATTGGCCAGTTTGTATCGCACGAGGGAGAGAACATTCGTGTTCACATGCTGTGTACATAGGCACTGAGCTCTGTATGGGTTAAAACATATTCTTTTTTAAACTAAAGGAACAAAAATTTAATCGTTTTAGTGGCTTCAATACTGAATATAAAAGTTATTTAAATAGGATTACATATCACTCTAGAGAAGAGTGTTTTAATTTCTTTTAAAAAGCACTTTGTTTCGCCGAGTCGTCGTTCCGGCAATTTACTTGTCAAGTCTCAGAGAAAACTTCTTTCTAGTACGTGACGTTATTTAAAAAGTTTTCATTCATCTGAATCGAGTAAAAACAACAAGACGTGTTAAATTAGTGGTGCTATTAAGCCGGATATACAAAATTGCGACGACGAAAAAGAGTAATGATAGGTGATTAGTTTACCACATGCGAAAATATTTCCTTAACCACGTCAAGGCGAACACAATGTTTAAGAAATACGGAAATGTCACACAATAAACCATTGCTTTGCTATTTTGTCCCCTACGGAAACATCAGAACAAAACCTGTTTATATTGGCCTGACAATATCAGTATTGCATATGTCCATGTATATTCCTGTGTTTTGATTACCCGCTTAGCGAGAACACATACATTATATGAAAGTCATGCAAACCTAAATATTGTACACGATTTCATTCTATCTTCAACGTCCAATTATGATTTTGCTGTAGAACTATTTATAACCTGGTGGCTGGGCGGATATGACATTTATTACACGGCCAAGTGCAGTTTTTCATTGAATGGTTTGTCGAAAATGTAAGAATGGCCGTTAACGTTTTAGACGTTTGCATAGTTATCGAGGGCGACACCCCGGCCGGAAGTAAGAATTGGAAGGCGTGGGCTGTCATAACGAGTGTGTGGTTGGGATGAGAGAACGCGCGATTGAAAAATACCGAAAAACTAATTTTACTTCGATAAAAAAGGTAGCGATACTCTTTGTACGAAACCTAAAATGGTTAAAAGCACCTAAGAATTTATAAAACTACGAAGTCTTCCTCGATCCGGCGGTATTCAATCTTTGTTTCAGCTTATTAGAAAGCCTAGACTACTATCTCGCAAAACTGAAGGACGGGTTGCCGGCATTTCTTTATGTCAGCTTTAATTACTGTGCAAAAGAAAAGAAGTATACTTAATATCCTCCACAATTTTCACAAAGGCTAAATCCTTCAGTCGTGGTACATGTATACCATGTTTTAATGACAGAGACCGTTTTTAATTTCTGCAGTAATTTTTGGTGCTTATTGACTTGTCTATAGCCATGTGGTATGAAACGGTCTTTACCGAAATCGTTTGCAAATTGGTTTCGATCAACCAGCTACATTTGAACCAAAGGAACGCTACATCACAAAGCAAACTGAAATTAAAATACTCACCTATTTCTTGAAAATAAATTCAATTCCCTTTTCCGTTCTTTCGCTGACACTTTCTTCTTGCTTTCTGATATGTGTTGCTTCAAAATGCCATGCCCCGCCACATACAAATCTGTAGGACGAATAACAACACGATGTAAACACGTCTTGACCTCTACAAGATATCTCTAGATTGAGCAAAACTCTAATCGTGTTTTAGCGACCTTAAACGCAAGCAAACAAACAATGGATTATTTAGCTTTTCCGTGATAGCGCAATGAATAAAAATCTAAAAATTCTTTAGGATGATAATTATCCAGTATCATGCGTCAACTCTACAACAATATCATTTCAATATTGTTGGTCAATTAATAGAGCCTCAAAAATATAAATATGCATCAACGTATAAACTGTTTTTGACCTTTCCAGAAACGTTCGCGGAGAAGCCAGCGATGTTTTGTCGTAGTTTTGGCAACCTGGCAAGTAAGCAAAACAAACAAACACCGCATTTCTATATATGTTTATAGGGAGAGTAGGATCGCTCGAAATAGCATTAAAAATCGAGGCTCGACGAGACATCGAAACACACCTAGTTACATTAATATTTTTTTCTGAATGGGAAACGTACGTCACAAAAAAGGGAGGAATCAAAGAAATATGAAACACGATTGGTGAAGACTGTGGCAAACTGCGAGGGATAAACCCTATTATTGGCGAATTATTTTTATTAGGATTCTTCGTCCTAGACGAGATCTTCTGAGGACTCGGCAAAGATTTCAGGACATTTTGGCGAGACTGTTTGTAATCATTAGGAAACATTCTTCAGTTGAGTCTTCGCCTATATCTGGGTACATCTTGTGATAATTTTTTCTCTCAAAGTTACTTATACTGAACCTTAAAAGATTCACAACATAGCTTTTATCTCAATTTGTCCTCATTTCGATCCTTCAGTCCACCCGCACCATTTAGTTATCAACACTTGTTAATAATGGTACTGTTCATTTGTTTAGCCGTGAACTGTTCTACCAAATCAGAACATTATTTTTGGGTTTCCTGTGACCTTAGAAAGATCCTGCTAAGCCATTGTCCCTTTCGATAAATACACAACATATACAAATAAATAAATTCATCATTTTAGTTAGCTTGCATTTCTGATTCTGGCCTAGTGAATCACACTTCAGAAGAATTTAAAACGGCGATTGGAATTTGGCCAAGTTGTAAATAAAGCAGATTTTGAGTTCCAAGTCATTTTTTTCAGCTTTGACTGTCGAAGTATTACATGTAAGTTGTGACATTTTATTAGTAACCTTTGGTCATACATATACCAGGTCAGAAGCTAAGCTTTTATAAAGAAGAGACAGAGATGACAAGTAATAAAGAAAAAAATCATTACTGAGCAATAGCTTCATTCTAAGCAGCTTAATTTGCCCAATATCTCTTCTCTGTTAGCAATTTTTTGACAGTAACAATCTTCTAGAATGACCGAAAAAGAGGGTTTGAAGGCCACGAAAGATTGGCAAAAATTAATAGATTTACCAAGAAAATTTTCCATCTCGTTCAAAGTAATTGAGTGGTTTCCTTATGTAAAACCGTGACTCCACAATCTTAGTGCAACAATTAAAGTTTCAAGTTACTACAAATTTCTGAAATACACGCGAAATCTTCACAACGAGTTAGAGATTTGTTGATGGAAATGAAGAAATTATTGATGTTTACATCTATTTAAAAAAAAACAGAGCCCTTTTTCGAAACTTTTTTCCTCTTTAGTGGACTAGAAACAAATATATCCTTAACCGGAAAGGAAAGTTGACTTTGTTCAAAGCAGGTTTTATTTGGCAAGAGTTTTGTTATGAAAACCCTTCGACAGTGGTAGCTTCTAGGTTGACAAAACCTTTCAACTTAAACCGTACTAAACAGAGTACAATGTAGCATTGTTCTATAATGTACTCTATTATATACAAAAGGCGGAAAGAAAAACAGCAACAAAAATACGGGCCGGAATATATTGACCTCTTGCTAATTGTATCTCCCTGACAAGATATCGCCCACATATCTAGGTGAAAGATCTAAAATCTCCGTTTCAAAAATATTAACATACTCAATTATTTCCCCGTTTCCTGTGATGGCGTTTTCCTTCCCAAGGGATTTCGTAAATCTTTTAACTTTGCTTACATTAAGTGAAAAGCATACATTCCCAGTACATAATATTTTATCTCTGTATGTCTTTTTCCATTCTTTTACATAAAATTACAAGTTTTTATTAAGCTTGAAATCGAAAGGAAACCATTGATAACAGTGTTACAAAGCGAAAACTACCAATGAAGTCCTTTACACTTCAGCGAAACAGGCGGCAATTTAGGGTTGAATTATATGCTTAAAGGCATACAGAGTAAAATCTGCAAATAAAATCTCTAGCCTTCCTTGCAAACATTCCGATTTCTTCAGAACGAAAGGAAAAATAATATCAAATGAGGGTTTGTTCTCGTGTCGAGCCAGACAATAATTAACCCGCGCAAATACTTCTAATGATTATCACACTCAGTTACAATGCACTCAGCTCTGAAAACAGCTCTTTGCAAAGAAAGAAAACAGAGCGAAGCTATATATATCGCAAAACTAGAATTCTGGTGAAGTCCTGAATTGTTCCAGATCTTGGAAAAGCAACAAACACTTTCTTGGACCCAATCATTCACTCGAAGCATATGGAAAGCATGTTTACGTAACTTTGCTAAATTCAAGTTTCACCTTTCTTCGATGCCTTTGTAATGAAGTTTTGAACAATAATCCCGTACAGCTTGTTTTTTTCTATGAGAGTTGTGTTTGAAAACTTCACCTTACCTTTAAGATCGAGTCGCTTGGTTCATTCAAACAAGAATCGCCTTCCAAGTATTCAAACACTCCGGCGACTCAGCATAAAAGTGTAGGCCGCCACACAATGATCTGAAATCTCTTGACACTCAATTCAACTAATGCTCTTTTGAGGTAATCCCTTTAGACGGCTCGCACAACAAAACTCGACTATGACGTCGCCATGTGGATAACTTGATTAAAATTCAGTTTAGAAAATTATCGATGAAAACATTTGAAGGCACAAATACGCGCACGGTGAAGAAATTTTTTCACGCGCTTACATCCTAAAGCACTCGACGCTTGCTAAAACGAACCAGGCTTCCCTCGCTCTACGTGAAGCAAACTTTCCGGTCATTACAAGCGAATGTTTTTTAGTTGCGACCCTTTTCCGCTTTCGGCTTATTGGAAAGAATTTAAACAATGCATTTGGTGGAATCTTTGTCCATAGCTTTAAACACAGCGCTGTATAAAAGACGGTCGATACAAATACCTTTCACAAAAAGCTCTCGCTTTCAGTTGCTCCAAAGTTTACATAGGTGCCACGACGGAAAACAATGAACAAAAGAGAGCTGTGAGACAAGGATTTGGCGTGACCGTAGTTAAAGCGCTTTTTAAACTTTGCCTACTGAAAACAACGAAAGTACGCTAATTGACGCCAAATGTTTCACCAGACTTATTAGCTTGTTTGCCCAGTATAACACATATTTACAGTAGGTATTGTCAGCGTAATCGAATCGTGAATTGCAGCGTTCGTGCGACCTTTCAACACTGACAACAACACAGAGGGCAGACTTCAGGAAAGAACAAATGAACAGACCTTTAATAAAAGCCTGTCTCTGCGGTTTTCGGCGGAGATCAACGAAGATAGATCTACCGACTTCAGTCTGCCGGCTGCCGGCGTATTAAAAATACTTTCTCTAAAAATTTTCTTGCACGGATATTTTTTCATAGCAGGAAAATAATTCTCAAATCCTTGACAACTCGAGACTGCTAAAAATTGAAGTTTCAACTAACAGCCTGTAATATACTCGCTTCCTTCAAAGAGATTAAGAAAAACCGCATTGGTTGTAGAGGGTCTTCGTTCCCCCGCAAGAATCAAAACTGACACAGAACGGGACAAAGTGAGCCGGCAGGCGGAAAAACGGTTATCTTCAAATTAAAAGATACTAATCCGTTTTAACTTGTTTTGGCGACAACTTCCGGTCGCAAAAACATCGAAGACTCCTCGGTTGTGATGTGATCACTTGTTCCTTGCCAACTTCGTGCGTAAGTACACGTTGATTGTCGAACTATCGTTTCAAAATGGCTACAAGCTGCCTAAAAGCGACTAACTTTTGATGAGAAGAACTCTTTCCTGTAAATCGTGAATCCCAAAATCGTTGCTTCATCCTATACTCCAACCTGTTAACCTGTAAAAGGCTATTTGAATTTAAACTGAATAGGAACGACGCACTAAAATGGCAGGCGGGAATTCTCGTCTCCATTTGATTTGGTATGGTGTAAAATTAAGCAAGACGTGTTTAAAATTTACCACGCCCAAATCTACGGTGAGTAAGGAAAGTTGGAAACCCACGCAAATCAGCCACCTCTATTCAAACAAACATCCATATTATAATAAATATTCCGGTAGTCAATCGATCGAGTTTGCCCCGAACTTTAAGAACAGATAAGAGGTAAAGTGACCCATCAAGGCCGGAGTTTATCCCGGTTTCTGTAGCATGAAACGACTAGGAGTATTTCTACTCCCCTCTGGATGGGATGCTAGTTCATCGCAGGGTTATTTCCAGCATTTAGTTTGCCGATATCCATTTGTAAACCTGAGAGGAGAGAGGGACTGTGATAGTAAAGTGTCTTGCCCAAGAACACAACACAATATCTCCGGCCAGAACACAAACCCAGATCGCTCGATCCGGACTGAACTGCACATTCCCAAGAACAGATAAGAACTTTGTCGATGAATGGCGTCCGTCTGAAGCGCGAAGGGAAAAAAAAGCTAATGCGTAATCTCACTGTGCAGACGGGAAAAACGACATTAACAAGATGCTCTGGAGAAAGGAAAGCTATTGTTCATAAAAATACATTGTCTACCACTAAGATAATGGAAATAAGAACAGAATCATCAGACGCCGAAATAAATGATGTTGTCTTTCAATTCTGCAACGCTAAATTCTCCGCATGATATGAAAATATTTCTATGATTTACACTGAAAGAATTCTTATTTCAAGTTTTAAAGTGAAACTTGAAGGGTTGAGCTGAAAGAGTGGTATTATATTCTCTTGAATACAATTTCCTAAACTTGGTAGTTTGTTATTTTCCCCACACCGATCTTTTCCTATTTCCTGTTACAATAACGGGCTTTATTGCTATTAAAATAATTGTCCTTTTTCCCTTCAGATTGATCTCATTTAAGGTTTTCCCATTTCCCGATTATAAGATTTGCTTAGATTTGCCAGTTAGTTTGGATAGACAAAAGTTCCTTTTATTTGCGCATGCACGAGAAGAAAAAAAGTGTTCGGCCTCAGGCGAATTCAGTTAGCTTCAAATCCTTCAAGTGTCTTTAATTTTAGCCAGAATTTTTGCGTTACTCATTTGTCTAGCTCATCTGAATTACATCGAACTTTTCATAAAGACTAGAACCACGCAAACGTTTCATCATCGAAAACGTTTTAGAACTATTGCCGGTAGCTTTAAACTCGCTTCGTCACAATCTCTATCCGTTTGCCTTCAGCCATCTTTCCGACATTTGGAAATTTCACACATTTTATATGCAAGGAAATCGCTTGAATGCTCCTAGGAAAGATGGCTTAAAAACGACAGAAAAGTTCTAAAATCTTTAAACCAAGCATATACTACACTATGTCGTTAGCACGAAACGGCAGGGAAAAACATTGCAAAAATATAGCTTTCCTTCTACTTTATGGCTGTGTAAGGTTCGCATGACATTGTGTGGTAAAATGTACAACCGCCATCTTTTTACCTAAGAAGGATTGACGAGACATTTTGTTCACCAAGAAAGCTTGAAATATCTGTATTATTTCTACCACGCATTCGTTAATGGAGCGAATACAATTCAAGAAAACACTCGCGCAAAATCTCGCTTACTTTTATCCTCTGTATGTACCAAAAGATGTCGTGTGGCGAAGTTGAAACCCAGCTGGGTTACTGATTTTCATTTCAAAGTTCCGCAAGGTAATCCTTGTCTAGACAAAGTTCGCGCGGATTTCGTTTATTTTCAGCATGAGGAAGTCTGTGGAAGTTGACTGACGTCACGACTTCCACCCAGTTTACCCACTCCGGCGCGCCACGCGATCATGTAAAAGCTCGCCATAGTCAACTTAAAGAAGGAAAAAATTACCGGTTTTCACTTTCGTGATGGTATTTTTTTTCTTTAAGTGAAAGAACCACAAAATGAAAATCGGCAAAGGAGTTGTTTGCGGTGAGCGAAAGTGAAAATTTCCCTCGTGAAAACTTCTGTGCCCAAATTATAAATAGTCTAGTTTACAGTTTTCTGCTCAGTGAACCTGGCCTTTGAATGGAAGTGAGGGTGCAGGTGACCTAGTTTTGATACAGACCTCACTGCTTTTGTTGTGCAAATCAAGTACGTTCTAATGCTAACTAGTTGCATGTAAGTCAGAAAAGCAGAGAGATCTGTATCAAAGCAAGGTCACATCCAGCATTGCTTGCATTCATAGGCCAGGTAACTAAGCACACAACTGCAAAATAACCTACTGTTAACGATAAATAAAAGAACGAGAATATTCCATACGAGCTATAGGAGCCTGATTTAATTTCAGAAGAGGAATGTTGAAACATTGTAGTAAATGCCTAATAAAAAACAAGAAGATTTAATTTATTTCGGTATGATAACCTCTAGATAAGGGTTAC